AAATTTCTCAACTTTGGCCCTCAAATATGTTGGAATTAAAATTCCCATATTGACTGGGAATTCAGGAAATTTTAATCCCAACACACCCAGGAGCATCAAAGTTAAAGCTTTATAACTAAGGGAAGTCATATACTGAACTTTTTCTTTTTGCTAAAACATGATTGGTTTAGTTTTGCATGGTATATAAATGTAACCAATTGTATTGTACAAAGTAAACAAGAATTAAATAAACCATGGTTGTGTGAAATGTGTTAGGCTAAATCACAGGTGTCAGCTTCTTGAAAATCTGCCACCTTGCAGATTTTGATCTTCTCCTTTGGGTGCCCATGCAGGAGCAGTAAGTTGTATTGCCTCAAACAATGAAATAAGCATGAAGGCACCATCATAACTGATTTTTAAAATAGTCAGACATTCCAAGAATAAGGACAAAAATAGAACCTTTGTAGGAAGACGATTAAGGAGTCGCAATGCAAATGTTACCATAGCTTTAAATGGACTAGAAGGGAAGAACAATCTACCCAATCCTTCTTACTCTTGAGTAAAGTAAACCTGAGGTTAAATTAATGTGTGTTGGTATCCTTTAATTGAGAAAAAGTGGAAAGAAAAGAAAGGATTTGAACAGTACAAGAAGAGTTAAGAAAGGCCATGGAAATTAAAGACTACAAGTGACACAGAACAATTTTTGGTTTCCTCGGGGTAATTGGTTTCACAGCTAAAATAATAATTCAGAAACATTCTGAGGATAATCAGAATATAATTCAATACATTTGGATGGTATCAACTTCAGGAAGGCTGGCCTTGAGGAACTGTGTGACTTGAGAGTTATCTGATGATACCAAATTAAGGGATTTACAGGGTTGTAAAAAGGGAATTACTGTAAGTGATCCATCAAATGATCTTTAAGTGATAGCGCTGGGTTTGTTTTAGAAATGTTCCAATTCTTGATGTAAAGTTGCCTAGATTTGCAGAATTTGGTATTGCTAATTGTTGATTTTATATTACACTAACCTACAAAATAATACTTCAATGAACAATATTGAATTTCCAAAAGAATTGAAAGAAATTCCAAGTAGGCAAGTAATAAATATCCTATGAAAAAATCAGAAAGTTTACAAATTATACTTTAAAACACATTTACTTCTTGAGCATGTAAGTGATTTTAATTTGTCAATTAAAAACAACCTTACAGTATCAAATAAGTTTCCCTTAACTAATATCATAAATTACTTATTTAAAAGAAATGACTATAAATGTCACTGTTTCAAGGATGCTTGCTTGGCAACTATTTTCAGTAGTAAGTTAATAAAGCAGGAAACAGTAAAGGGAAAATCAATTGTGTTTCCCAATTAGAAATGGACTTTCAAACACTGGAAATAGCTATTTTCATCCTTTTAATTTCTGAAGTGGGAAGAGGGATGGCAGAGACAATTACCATAGAACATAAAGAAAATGGGATAGGCACAATGGCTCAGCGATTAGAAATGCTTAGCTTTTCAACTGGAAAGCTGCCAGGCCGGATTCAAGACCTGAATGCTGTGCAATGGGATTTGCCCCTGTTACTTGCCCCAGCTCCTGCCAACCTAGCAGTTCGAAAGCATGCAAATGCAAATAGATAAATAGGCACAACTTCAGTGGGAAGGTAACAGTGAGGCTATGTGTCTTGGTGTATAGTCATGCTGGCCATATGAGCACAGAAATGTCTTTGGATACTCCCTCAGCTAAGAAACACAGATGAGCACTGCCTCCTGGAGTTGGGCACAACTGGACAGGGGAAATCTTTACCTTTATAAGAAAAATATTATTTTTCATTCCACCATTGTCCAATTCTGCTTTTAACAAAAAGCACAGAATGGATACTGAATAAATGCCATCTCGGACCTAATAGGCATGTTACTGAATATCCATATATAGAAAACAGACAGGACTTTTACTATAATACTGCTCCCTCCAATTTACAGGTTTTTACACAAACATACATATAGTATACTACAGGAGATGCAATAGCACTAAGGAATTATGAGAGCCCAAGAATACAAGCAGGTTGTTCAAGTGGGAGTTTTTATACAACTTTCAGATTGAGGGGAAAGTAATGCTCTGCTAAGATGCCGCCAGGGCTCCTTAATCTTGGTCTTCTTTTGATATCTCAAATATGGGAAGAGGTATCAAAGCAGTATCCATACAACCAGAATAGTATGTATATACAAGTTATTTCTTTTCTGATTTGTTTTCCTTCCTGAGTTATTTTCCTGAAAAGGTATCAGTTGGAAGAGAAAGATAAAGACACACCAACGAGAGGAATGATTTGTGAGTCAGATGTTTTTGTTCCTGCCCAGAAAGAAAAGTAGGTAGCATGAAAAATAAATATGTTTCGGCATTCTTCCCATGACTGGGTACACTCAGATTTCTGTTTTTATCTTTCTCTGTGTTGGTGGGTTGGAAAGAAAGAGAGGAAAGGACAGATTTCCATATCCCACCAACAATAATAGTTCAATTGCTATGCTTTACTTTCCATTAATATACAAGATGATATGGTTCAGAAGTGCAGAAAATAAGAATTGTTAATTTCTCAAAGAGCCTCCATACACAGGGAGATAGCCTCCTCCTATATGGAAAGAAAGGAATACGCAAATTGCTAAGTACTGTTTCTGGACCCCCTTACCAAATAGGTCAGTTGGGCAAAATTCTAGTCAAATGGGATTTTCACAATTCTGGAGAAGAATGCTAGCTGGGGAATATTGAGAATAGAAGTCCACACATCTAAGTGTCACTGATATTGAAAAAGACAGGTAGTTTTTGACTTACAACTTAATTTAGTGACTGTTCAAAGTTACCACCCCACTGAAAAAAATGACTTATGACCATTGTGGCATCCCCATGGTCACATGATTAGATGCAGATTCCTGGCAACTGAATCATATTTATCATGGTTGCAGGGTCCCAGGGTCATGTGATCCCCTTTGGCAACCTCTGATAAGCAAAGTCAATGGGGAAGCCAGATTCACTGAACAATTGTGTTACTAACTTAACAACTGCAGCGATTCACTGCAGTCATAACTGTGGCAAGAAGGTTGTAAAATGGGGCAAAATTCATTTTACTGTCTCACTTAGCACAGGAATTTTGGGCTTAATTGTTATAAGTTAAGACTACCTGTACTGATCTAGCTAATGACTGAGATTTGAGCCACTGCAAAGTTCAAGTGTAAAGTTCACTTGCAGCAAGATGTGTGGTAAAAATATTTTCTCCTCCAAGATGGGAGGAGGAAGAGAAGGAGGAGGAGGAGAAGCAGCAGCAGCAGCTCAAAATATATTCCCTGTGGGTGAGCCATATGCCTTCCAATTTACCCTGTCAACATTTAATCTGGGAAAGCAACTTTGCACTCAGCCTTCTTTAAGGTATAGGTATAGGTAAAATTTAGGTATATACTACAGGAAGGCTACAAGCTGGTAACAATCACCTTGTGCAGCTGTACAGAGTGATGTGTCTAATCCAGAGAGGGGAAGGGTCAGCAGATCAAATTCTACAGAGGAACATGCTGTCTGAAGAGGGCTTTTGCAAAGCCTTAATTGACAGCTGTAAACCCACACTTTGTGTCTTCTCAACTGTCCCGCCTCTGACACAGTTGCTGGAAAGAATTTTAATGACAAGGGCTCTGTCGCTGCCAAGTATTGTTTCTCCACAATGCTTTCACCCACATCTTTACTCTGAATACTTATTTAATAAAATTATACATGCCCTTCAATGAACTTCCAGGATGGTTTTAAAAAAGCAAACTTAAATGCACAAGTAAAATTTAATGTGTGAAATTGCAAATAATTGTTACTTTATTAATACCAATTATTAAGCAGTGACAGATCATTTTAAAAAGTTATTACAGCTATTGGGCCATTTTGATACAACAAGCATTCCGCTGAGTGGCTGGTTTTTGAAAAACATCCCTTCTACCTTTATGTCAACTCCATGGGCAGCATTTGGACTGGCCAAATTTATATCAGGCAAATGAGTATTAATTCAATTTGAATTATACCTTACTTTATGCACATGTCAGAAACAGGAATGACTTCATGGTGCATTTATCTCAGTTCAGGAAAAGCTATCCATTTCTCTTGCAAAGACGTTACTTATTGCAAAAAGTACCAGTCATAGAGGTTAATGTGAAAAGGTGTATATGTCATGCTTAAGTGAAGTCCTTTAAGTGTTCGCCCTGATCCTGAACTCAATAACCCATCAATGTTGAAGTCATTTTTAAATGAGGCATTTTAGACATAGGATGTAAAAGAAATAAAGTAAAAACAACAACACAAGAGTAAAATACTGATGAATAAAAAAGGGATCTAAAATGTAATGGAGTTCATAATTTTCAAATGTATCATTAATTACAAATTATAGAATGCTGCAGTCCTGGTTGCATTCACTAAAGGAAACTTGACTGAACAGATTTGAGCTTTATTTTGAAGAAAAATGCACTGATTGCTTTGTTTTGTTCTTTAAAACAGCAGCCCCCAACCTTTTGGGCACCGGGGACCAGTTCCTTGGACAGATTTTTTTCCATAGACCAGAAGGGCCGTGGTTTAAAATGTGGCCTGCATCCTGCAGATGGGCCTTCGCTTGTTTGCACAGCCCTGTTTCTGGCATGCCACGGACTGGTGCCTGTCCATGGACAGGGGGTTGAGGACCCCTGCTTTAAAGTATGAAAATAATTTAGAGAACACAATTACATGTACATACATGCAGACACACAGGCAGACATGGGGACGACAAAATCTCTATGACATATGTTCCAGATAATTGCCTCATCTTCTTTCATTGATACTGCTTTCATTTTCATTCACAGAAAGCTCCACCTTAGTAGAAGATTACAAGCATAAAATGTATGCACATCAATTGTAAAAGAGTATTTAGGATAGTCATTGCACTTTATTTTCCCTATCCTGTAAATCTTTCATTTTGTTTTTCTTTTTTCTTTGTGCTCCTTCAGTGTGCTCGGCCCCCAAATGCTTACCTTCTCTTCTACTGTTGCGCAGACATTTCACTTTGGGGAGCTTGATCAGCAAACGGCAATCATCCGCTTTGGAAACACAAACAGAATGCAATGTTATCTGACTGTTTCTTTTCATCTTTCAAAACTTTCACACAATCAAGAGGTCAGAAAGTGAGTGTTAAGAACTTTGTCAGTGTACACTTAACTCCTAGTGGCAGAATAGAAAAGGGTATGTGTCCATTATGATATTAAGGAACAATGGGGAATCATAATACATAGGAAAATCTCCTCTTTTCCAGGATCAAGTTTTCAGTCTCACAAAGGTTGAGACTGTGCACCAGTACATGCACAAACAGACACACACAGTTCCCTCTCTCCCTCCTTCTCAACCCCTCTGGTTTTCAAGTTCACTTACGATCATCGCTGAAGTCATCTACTAATAGGATTTCGTGGACCAGGTACACTGGGGTTCGGTTCAGCACACTAAGGGATCATAAAAGAAAATACCCAATGGATTTTCAACAGAAAAACAAAACTGGGGGAAAAAATCACGCTCAGAATACATTTTGCTTGGATAGGCAACAATGAAGTTGAGGGAGAGGGATGAAACACTTGCAAAAAGTGAGAGTTTTTTAAAGTTATACTACTTAAATAATAAATAATTATATCAATTATCCCTTCTGGTCATTAATATTTTGCAACTTCAGTTATATTTTCCAACCTTCAGTGCCAACAGTGTTTCTGAGAGTCCCTGGGAGCTGCACGTAATCCAGAGGGTTCACTGCTTAGTAGTGCAAAGTATGAGCCAGGTGTTCCTGAACTATTTCATCCAGGATCCAATTTAAATGGTAAGTGTTTTAGAAACAAAATAGAATCCCCATGATAGGCTACAATTATAATAACTGCAGTGCAAGACTCCCTCAAATTACCATAGCCACTGCTTGTGTTACATCAATTAAAAAGCTAAGCTGAAGCATGGTAGCCATGCTTCAAAGCCATACTGCTTTATAGTCTGAAGCTCCTCATAAATAAAAAGGAATGCCTGCTCATGGAACCATGAAGTCAAGTTTGCACTTCTGGGTAATAAGATCAACAACATTTTACAAAAGAATACAAGAAAACATGGTCAAGGTTTGTAAAAACCATGTTATTGTAAACTATCAACTCAGTGATCAACAATGGTATTTCTATTCCATTAGTTGTCACTACCAAAAGAAAAGATAGATATCTGGAAGGTTTTATAAAAATATTATTTAAAGAACGACCTATGTAACTAGTCGGAACAAGAGACAAGCAATTTCTGTGGAAAGCTAATTTTTGTAGACTGTCTTTAATTATAAGTTGGCTATAGTCATTGTGAATACTTAAATTACATACTAATTTAAACTGAGTCTGGTTTCTTTAAGCTAATGGGATTGCCCAAGCATTTAAAATAAATGTATCATATGAGTGTTGTTTTGAAGACAGCTTCTTTATGAAATGTAAACAAATTATTCACTATCTGGGAATATAAACTGCAAGTTACTAATGAAATATGAGACAGAAAATGATTGCCATTAACTCTAAAAAAAAAAGCTTCAACTACAACCCAAATTCTTCTATTTTTTAAAAAAATCAATGTAATTGGTTAGAAGGATTATATTGATTAATAATACTGATTAATGCTTCCAGGAAAATTTGATTGTTTGAATTTATACATCTGTGAATTCATATATGAATTAAACAACTATAAAATTAAAATAAAATGGAAGCCATCTTGTTTTAACCTGAATTTAATCCTGAGTTCCCCATTTAAATTGATTTCAAGATAACATAATATCTGAGTCTAATATCTGAGTCTAATAGGCTATTACCTAAGAAATATGACACCAGGTATGTTACTATGAGGTCATGCCTTTTATACAGAATTGGGAAAGTTATAAAGGATATATTTTGGAATAAACATATGGCAGAAGGAAAGTTGAGCTGAAGGATTCTTGATACCATCAGCCATAAAATCCTTCTGGACAGCCTGCAGCAATTGGGAGTGGGCAGCACTGTGTTGTGGTAGTTCTCCTTCCTCTGTGGTCATTTCCAATCTATGTTGATGGGGAGAGGTATCCCCTATTCAAGAAAAAATGAGACCATCAGTTCAGGGTCTGCTATCATCAGTATGCGAATGATGCTCACTTATATATCTCGTTCCTAAAATGTGTAACTACTACTGTTGATGTCTTGCCTCTGTTGGTTATGTCACTATGAATGGGAAGGAACGGACTGAGACTAAATGGCTGTGGATATATGGGCCCCCTTATGTGACAGAGTTTCCATCTTTGCCAACCATCTTGAAAAAGGGTTGCATTTCCCCATTCAAGACAGGTATACAGCTGTCTCACAGCTCTTATGTGAAGAACTCTGCAGCTATGTACCAGCTGTGCCTGTTCATGGATTGGAGAACCCTTGGATAGTCATTCAAACCCTAGTCACCTCTAGAATGCACTATTGCAATGTGCTGTACATGGTGCCGCCCTTAAAACTCCTTGGAGTTATCCTGCTCTGAAATGTATTACTGCATGTCATACCAAGGTTCCATGCTCTACTTGTCAATTGGCATAAATCAAGATGCTGGTTAGAAGAGAATATAATTCTTTATTGGCCAAGTATCGTTGGACACACAAGGAATTTGTCTTTGGTGCATATGTTCTAAGTGTACATGAAAACAAAATAAAATACATTCATCACAAATCATAAGATACAACAATTAGTGATAGTCATAGGTTACTAATGAGCAATCAAATCATACTAGGAAACAAATAAACCAATATAAATTGTAAAGATACAAGCAACACAGTTATAGTCATAAGTGGGGAATAGAATAGAATAGAATAGAAAACTTTATTGGCCAAGTGTGATTGGACACACAAGGAATTTGTCTTGGTTTAAATACTCTCAGTATACATAAAGAAAATGTACATTCGTTAAGAATCAAGAATCATAACGTACAACACTTAATGATAGTCATAGGGTACAATCAACAATCAAATCATACTAGGAAACAGTCAATATAAATTGTAAGGATACAAGCTACAAAGTTATAGTCCTACAATCACAAGTGGGAGAGGATGGGTGATAAGGAGTGATGAGAAGATTAACAGTAATAGTAGTGTACACTTTGTAAATAGTTGAACAGTGTTGAGGTAAATATTTGTTTAGCAGAGTGATGGCTTTCAGGAAAAAACTGTTTTTGTGTCTAGTTGTTCTGGTGTGCAGTGCTCTATAGCATCGTTTTGAGGGAAGGAGTTGAAACAGTTTATGTCCGGGATGTGAGGGGTCTGTAAAGGTACTAGGAAGGATGAGAAGAGTAATAGTAATACGGCCTTAGTAAATAATTTGACAGTGTTGTGGGAACTGTTATTTAGCAGTGTGATGGCATTCGGGGGGAAACTGTCCTTATGTCTGTCTAGTGGTTCTGGTGTGCAATGCCTTATAGCGTCATTTTGAGGGTAGAAGTTGAAACAAACTTTTAAGCAAAACGGACTTAACTTGTCGGGGCCTGGTGCTTTTCCTGGTTTTTGTTTGTGAAATAGAACTTGCATCTCATTCTCTGATCACCAGAGGTGGTGGGCCCAATGGGATGGGGTAGGTTGTAGGAGGCTTGGCTGTTGTTAGTGTGTCTGAGATTATATAACTTTATAACTTATAAAGCCCCTTATGATGTAGGACGTGATTACCGGAGGGATCACTTATCCAATAAGATCCACCAAAGTGGATGAACTTCAGATCTCTGTTAAATAAACTACCATTTGTGATTTAAATCATAGATTGCTTGTTTATTTATTCATTTGTTTGTTGCTTACATGGAAAATGTGATTTACAACTCATGACTGGGTTCATCCAATGACAAAATAAACAATACCATGTCCTAATATTATGTGTGAATGTAAATGTGTGTATACTCCAACGTATAACACAACTTTGCCAATATAATAAAAGAAACCAGGAGCACACATTCATAGTATCTATTGATTTCCAAGAATGAGAACACAGTACAATAGGAACTATTTTGCATAAATCAGGATCTTGAAATTTGCTAGGTATTCTTCCTGACCAATTTCTGTTAACAGTAAACACTTTCCTACATCTTTTCCCGAGGGCTGAAACTAAGTCTACTGGAGAAAATTAATTGAAAATTGCTGCTGTATGTTTCTTTAAATGATGTTAAGTTTTTTCAGACTTGGTTTATTTCCAGGTATATTGTTCTGATTCCATTATATTGACATGTTTATCATTTTAGCTATTTAAAAATTGGTACTCTTCATGTAATAGAGACTAAGAAATACCGTATGTCTATAATTTCCCCCAAACATTTCCATTATACTATTGAATGAACCTGCTTCATTCTTGAGTTTTCTCCTTACTTATACATAATGCACAAAGATCTCATAAATAACTGGCTCCCATCTGCCAGCTGGCACTAACTTTCTACATTATACACCACTAATAGGGTTAATAGATAGATATACAATAACATCTTTTATTTGGTCTGACATCAATTAAAAAAACAAGATATAAATGTTTTTCATCACCATTAGAATTTTAAAAATAAATTAGAAAACTGAAAATTAACTACTTCCAAAGTATTCAGATTAGACAAGATCCATAAAACATCCAAAGAAACTAACCATAATCTCTAACTGCAAATTCCTGGATGGACTTTAAAATTTCCGAGTATCACTGATGGAAATAAGGAAAAACTCCACTGAGTCAAGGATCAAACAGAATTCACAGATGGCACTTTAAATTCATGTTCATGACTTGTAATTTTATTATCATGTGCTAGATTCTCAGCAACTAAACATATTCTAGTCTAGCATTCTAAAGCATTTGATAAAGTATACATTTTTTTCTGGATTCTTGAGCTGACTGTATTTCAATGGTAGATTTACTCATGGACTTTATTATTTTGTCTAAGTATAATTTATTTATTTTATTTTATTTTGTCAAGGCAATCATTAGATAACAGATATAAGTATAAACATGGTTATGAATACATGAAATGGATACGAATAAGAAAAAAAAAGAAAGGACAGGGACGGTAGGCACATTGGTGCGCTTATGCATGCCCCCTACAGATCTCTTAGGAAAGGGGTGAGGTCAATAGTAGATGGTCTAAGGTTAAAGTTTTGGGGGTTTGGGGAAGAAACTACAAAGTCAGGTAGAGTATTCCAGACATTGACCACTCTGTTGCTGAAGTCATATTTCCTGCAATCAAGTTTGGCGCAGTTAACCTTGAGTTTGTATCTATTGTGTGCTCTTGTATTGTTGTGGTTGAAGCTGAAGTATTGATTGACAGGTAGGACATTGCAATATATATTTTTATGTACTATACTTAAATAGAACCAAAGGTGGCATAGTTCTAGGTTGTCTAGGTCTAAAATTTTAAGTCTGGTGGCATAAGGTATTCTACTACGAGTAGAGGAATGGAGAACTCTTCTTGTGAAATA